TTTATATATAAATATATATGCATGCATATCAAGTCAGGATTGTACTTACCCTTCCTGTCCGTGTGTCATCATGGCGTAGAATGAGGTGTTGAAGATCTGCGACAAATTGAAGACATATATGATACCTAGGATTCCGGATACAAAGCCCGGGATGAACAGGGCTCGTGCCTTAGAAGGATAAGGTTACATAAAAAGCGGTTAGCGTATGAAATTATACGCAAAAGATGACTACCATAGGCTAAGAATTAATCGATATGAACCCACATATAGAAATAGGGTATACCACACAACAAGATAAGAGATACATATGCTGTAGTTTTTGCAAAGCTGCATACCTGAACATCTTGGTAATGATACACTAAAACGCCCACGATGTTGCCACAAAAGAAGGAGAGCAGCTGAGGTATGAATAGCATGAACTTCCAGTATTCGCTCTTCCTTATGCGCCTGCAACAGTCATCAAAATACACTACACTCGATTAGTTCTAGGATGAGTACTTGTACACCCATTATTAAACACGCTTGACGTTGTTGACAAACTCTGAGTTTGTGTGGCCACGACTGCAACGTAAAGTGTGTCAGTTGATGGACGTGGAACAAAATGTTGCGGTGGTGGATGGGATGCGAACTATGCGAACCAATCTAAATAAGATCTGTACCCGGACGACAATAGCGTTTCCGAACAACGATCTTATCCCCAAACTGTGGACATATCATGGGATCAGAAATCTGATCACAGTCAGCCAGCAGCCCTATAGTTTATATTACCGATCTAGATTTACTGGATGGATTTACTATGTGAGTGTTTGTATACATAACTGTATGTAGATACATACGATGCGTTGGGAAATTGATGAACGCATTTCCTTGTAAATGACAACCGTGGACAGACGCGTGCACTGATTTGTCTATGAACACCAATAGCGTATTTTCAATCACTCACAAGGAAATTGTGACTTTTATGAATTTTGCATGCTAATATCAGCGCATATAGAGAAATTCAAGTGACATAGACACACATACTATCTCATATCACAATGAAATTATGTATTATAAAGAACCTTGTATGCCGCTATCAACACATTAATAGATACTCCGGTGACATAGACATACTCTCCCATAGCACGGACAGTCGACTACAGACACGTTTTGACACGTTTTGCAATCCTAGACATACCCAGTCATGGCATAGGCGGTCAGTATGGCTAGATCAGTGGTCATTCCAGTGTAGTGTGTTGTTCGCACCACGGCGCCATCAAACGTTGTTGTTATTGCATTCTGCATTCCTTTCCAAGAAATCCGGTGCGTTGACACGATAACTGAAGGTTAGTACTTTCCATCAAACCATACCTAAATAGTTGAGCAACATGCGCATGAGACCTACTTGTAATGATCTGTCGAAGCCTTATCTTATAGCGTTAAACCTGTATTGAATATGTAAGATACCTTTCCAAGATCTCCGCGTGCGTATCAATGCGATGCGAAAGATCTACATTATAAGCCACCTACGCCAGTTTGAAAAGATACCATAGCGCTTGAATACTAAAATGTTGTACAAGCAGTAGGCCGTCGGTGTATTTTGTGCCAATGTTTCGAGATTTAAAGTGCAGTACGTGTATAGCATATGCACAGACGTAGCGATTGGCAACATTGATGTTCCTCGCTACGGATAGCATCATACGTACTGATATGCCTGACGGTCACTGAGCTGGGCTGGCTCTGGGCGGTGGTATATAAACACAAGATCAAAGTTTTGCGCAGACTACTGTGCATAATCACACAAATAGATAACATACTATGCTATATGCAGGGAACACCCTGTGTGCACCATAAAAGCTGGAACAAGCAGCATCACACACCTAAGGCCAGAGCAGCTTGGTACCAGGCCGGCAGCTTCGCCGAGTACTCTATCGCGAAGTAAGATCCCAACAGAAGCGCGCAAACAACAAGTAGAACCCTGCCATATGCAAACCCTGGACACAGAAGCCACACATGTGAGATGCAAGTGAAACTCGCATACTCAATGTTGGGTGGAGAGGTGTGGAAAACGCAATGGACTAGGCGGTGAAACCTGGCTATCACAAATACTCTTTCTCTCAGGATATTTTTTTACTTCTGAGATATACTACCTTCCATGTGCATCTGATGCTATATAGCCGTGCTGTAGCGGTGTATACACCTACGTAGCTATATGACTGTGTACAAATAGTGGATAGGGAACCAATTTGAAAAGCTCAGACTTCTTCAGTCCACAGATGTGCGATCAAATATGTGTGAGGCACCTGGAACCTGGTTCGCGACCAATAACCATGGGGTGAAGCGCAGGTATACATAACTAACAGGTATCCACGCAAAATATAAATGAAAACGTCTTAGTACGCCTTACATTGGCAACTTCCGATCTTTCCATACCCATTTTAAAGCTTCGGTTGGGTATCATCAACGCCGAAATGACACCCCCGATGTAGTAGGAACACCACAGCCCAAATAATTCGCCGAATTTGGCCCAATCACCTACAGAAGCGTAGAGTGTGCATGAATTAATCGAAAGATTCCTTGAAAACAGCTGACGTTGCTATTCTCGGAATACCACTCTGTTTTAGTTATTTGTACGGCTTTTATAGTAGACAAATCTACGTGTTTACAATAAACAAATAGCCATTTTCTATTCAGGGGTCACTAATTGAATTCTTGACAGTGATCTGAATGCAGCCGCATCTGTCCGCAGCTGAGACTATTGTAGGCTACGACAAACCGTGACTAATCCTGCACTTATGTTGACGTAAGTTGGTTTTAGTATCCCGAGCTTGTGACTATGTTTCCCGTCATAGACATCACAGAGTATTCATAGAAAGCATCGCTGTTTACACTGAATGATTTACCCGAGTACGTGTTTGCAAAATCTGGTAGTTGACAATGAATACTGCCATTAACATGCATAGTATAGTTTGAGCATACCATACGGTATTATGACCACGCTAATAGAAATATGTAAAAACACCATCTGTCGACATTGAAACGAAGTTTATCTCCACTCCCTTGAATTTTGAATAGCAAACCAGAATTGACTTATGTGTTCCTGTCACATGTCTCAACATCTAATAAGAACCGCACGTGTGTGGTAGACACATATGCGCATGTGAACATAAAGACATATCTATACACGTATAAATTCTGGATCAGCGAGAAAGCATATGCATCAGATGCTTTACAATCAATCACATACAACACTATAGATATGCACTCAGGCATATCACGTGCAACATACCATTGCCCACAGCCACTCCCGAAGTAGATACCGTCCCGGATACGAAGGCGACCGAATGACTGAACTGACAACTTAGGAATACGGCATTGATAAACCCGGCATTGAAACTCAGGGCCCAGCCACCCAGTATTAGGATTTGCCGTTCCTTATAGCCATAGTTGAGTTCTGCCTGGGTTTTCCTCCTATATTCCTGAATTGGAGTTACTACGCCGCTACTCAGATCGGCCTGAGAGCCTAGATCGAACACTATCCGCGGTACTTCTTTGTGTGGATCGTATTCTTGTGCAGGTGATTGGGATCGCAAAATGTGTGCAATCTGTGTGTTTGGGCTTGCTTCCGGGTTTGTTAGCCGCGAATCTGCACCCCCACTCTGTAGTTGTACTTGGCGTGAACTCGTCTCATTGTCCTGAAATATTTCTATTTGTGGGAGGCTGGAGATAGACCCGTTTTTCGAGGATAGTGCGATATTAGAGGGTGATGGCGAGATCACTAAGCCTGACGTATTTATACCGGAACTGGCTACTGAGTTTACATTGGCATGGCCTTTGTGTGGGTGTTTTAGGAGGTTGTCATCGCATACGTTGAGCAGTTGACGCGTATCCACACCGTGATCGGGGTATGCCCGCAGTTGTGAGGCACTAGTGATTGATCCATTCTTCGACGATAAGGATATGTTGGAAATTGAAGGCAAATCTGTCATGACTGTAGGGCTGTGTTGTCGTACTAGCTTGCGTGCTATTCCGGTACTGAGTGATGTAGCTGGTCTCTCTACCGCCGCTATTACTGTTCTTTTGCTTCGATGATCGATTTTAAACTTCTTTGCTGGTTCTTATACACTAAATGAAGTGCTGCTGTTATCATTCACGTCATTACTGCTCTTACTATGGCTGTACTGGCTGAACAGTGCAACTACTTTTTACGAGCCAAGTGTGCAATACAATGAATATATAATTGATCCCCTTTTGTTGAATTGGGCGCAATTCTTGAATGAATATGGTGCTAAGTTTCCCAGGATCAGCATGAGAGTTTATTTCAATTAAAATCGCAAGAGTGAAATACAATCGTTAATATATACATCTATGCATTTTCGTTTGTGTGTGATTCGAAGTTAATAGTAGATACACATGTTAGGTCTTATACATGTGTGTATATGGTATGTGTATACACGTAACGGGGGTGTTTGGGTTTAGTTGAGGTGTACTAAGACAGAGGTTGAGACAAAGCTCGCTCGGTTTCTTCCGAGTCTGGCAGTAACCTAATTGAATCACACATGTATTTCAGTGACAACTGTACATGAACACATACCAGTAACCAGAGATTCATACTTTTTTAAAAGGTACAGTGCACACAGTACATAATACCGTGCACACATATTTACATAAATAGGCACATACTATCACAGTAAATATCATATTTTTAATAGAAGGCTTTTTATTTAAAAAAAATATTGAAGTCTCTGGCTTTGCAATCCGATAAGCCTGATTATGCTGATTAGTCACAGTAAAAAAAAAATGGTGCTTTGTTGTTTTTTAAAAACAAACCCCCCCCCCCCCCCCATGTATGCACTTTTATTTTGGGGACTATTTTGTCCACAAAGAGAAAATTATTATATTTAAAGTTTGTATGGAGCATTGGAACTTTGGAATGTCAATAAATTATTTACATCTATCCTCAAGCCTTTTTACGATAAAACGGATAAGCGCTTGGAAAAATTATCCGTTTACGTTCAATGTGTCCGATGTCCTTTTTATATATCGCATAATATATACAAAAGTCCAATCAGGCCATGACCCTCTACTGAGAGGTGTAAAATTTGAGGGAGAACGGATAAGTTCGTAGGACATTATGTAGGCATACTTTTTTTAATTATTATCTCAGAGGGTCATGTAATAGGTCAATAAACTCCACTAGCCTTATAACCCATATCATATAAACATTTTTAAGGGTCAGAATGCGTTAACTTTATGAATACATATTAGAGTCCATTAACGGATAAGGAGTATAGGTGTAAAAACATTGTACCTAAATATGAAGAAGGGTATATACGTTCAGTTTGCCATTTATATACATATAAATTGATGGATTCTCAATCATCACCTGTCGCACTTTTAGACCTTCCGTTAGTAACGAGTTGCCGTGCGAGCTTGACGCTTAGAAGTCACTCCTATAATAATATACGTATAAAAAAAGACACGCCGTAAGTCGATCGTACATACACACCAACAGACAGCTTACGAGCACTCCATACAGAAGACGGCCGTCAATGCGCATTAGGATAGCGCAAAACCGCATAGCACAGTCGCACCAAAGCATAAAAGACAAAATGGACTCAGGCTATGTAGCTGTCGGTACTAGTAGTGATCCGAACTTATCGCCAGACCCGCCCCGGTCACGAAAATCAAGGTATGTCAACCACTCATTTAAAACTAGTTGTATGTATCACTATTTAACCAGGTACGTATATCTTGACGGCGAAGGTCGCGAAATGTGACTTAACCAAATGGAATAACACATACGC